AATTGTGATGCTTTTATGGGTCAAATAGACTCAAAAAATTGTAACAGCAGCTGTGCGGAGGGCCCGATCAAATTTTTTGCCAGGGGGCCCACAATTCCTGGCAGCGCCCCTGATTGTTCCCATCAAGCACGTTATTTATACACCATTCATTGGATTCAATAACTCTTTGTAGGCGTCACTCTGCTCAATGCACACACAGCCAGGGCCAGAATACAATAGGGCCAGGCTGGGCCCCACAATGCAAAAAACCTACAACATTCTTTACAGCTTGTAGTAAATGTGGCAATGCATTCTATGAAGCCATGTAGGAATAAAAACATATTGTATAAATTTCATCTGTAAAAAAAGACTTACAGCTCACGTATTACAACCTGAATGTAGATTACTATCTGTGTGCAGGTCCCAGCGGTCCAGAGCTCTGCGTCTTCTATTCAGCCTCCTCCCATTCACAGCTCTTCAGGTATCGGAAAGTTGCCTGTGAGGCCAGGCTTGCACAACACTGAGCCTCAAAATCTCCGAACTGCACAGGTATTTCAATGTGTTTTTCACATAAGGGACAAAGTTAAGAAAATTGTGTCCAGTGTTAAGGATTTGGGTTGAAGTACATTTTACAAAATATCTCTATCTCTTCATTTAGACTTATTGTCACATACATTTACATTCCTGAAAATGTCAATCCCCTGTTCCTATTTCCTCCAATCTCTTATAAATCTCAATGTAAGCTAAATGAACCCCCTGATCCCAAGGGATGAGACAGACACTACTGGAAGCTTCTAGAATTTTTAAAAGGTATAAAATATTCTTAAAATTGGTTTGTGTAGTGTTAGTTCTGTATCAGTAATATACAACATAACCAAACCAGATGACAGCCTTATCTGTGCTGGTTATAGCGTTGCATTATTTCCTGTCCTGCTATATCTTACAAACTGCTGTGAGATACTGGATGTTTCTCTGGCTGTGCAAAGGCACAGCCGCACCTACACTGTAAAAACATCTGTAAATTTTATAGTAAAAATTTGTAAAATACTGTTAAACTGTAACATCCTAAACATTATTTTGAAAATGCATTGAATTACTATAACTCAAACATAAATTTGACATGTTTTCTACATTTCTGTTATAAAATGTAGAAAACACAGAAATGTATTGTAAAAATTTTAGAAATTAACATAAGATTAACAGTACTAATAGGCCAAATGTTGCAGCTCTACCATGTGAAGCAGTCAACCAGACTGCAGAAATTATTTTTTAAAGAGAATAGCATACTGGTATGATATTTTGGTTTGATATAATTAGGCCCGAGCAGTGAAACGCTGCAAAGGCCTATTGTAATCCCAAGATTTTTTTTTTTGTCGTAGGCCTACATGTCTTTTTGTAGGCCTTAACATATTCAAAAACTCACCAACATATTCAAAAACTCACCAAACTTTGCCCAATATTGTCCCCATTGTGAAATTTTTGGATTCCAGTTGAATCAAAAGTGGGTGCGGCCAAACTGCTCAACATCGCCCCCTAATGGGAGATGGGGCAAACCGTACATTGTGGAGATCTGAAATTCGGTACATAGGTAGCTCACCCCAAGTGAAGAAAAAGTCTCCTGGAGATTTGCCGTAAAATGGACAGGGAGGCAGCCATTTTGGGTCAAAGGACAAGTTTTGGCCATTTTGACATTTACACACCTTGAACTTTAACAAACTCTTCCTAGGAATTTTGAGCTATTGGCTTTATTTTCGGTTAAGGGATGTAGTTTAAGGGATGGGGCATTAAAAGTTATCAAAATCGTGAGTTTTTAGCTGTACGTTAGGCCCTGCTGCTTGCAGTGTATTGTAGTGGGCAAAGAGATAGTAGGCTTAGGGCAGTGTTTCCCAACAGTGGTCCTCAAGGCACTCTGCCCTGCAAGTTTTAGGTGTTTCCTTACTTCAGCACAGGTGATTTCAATTAGCAGATCTTTGCTGACCTGCAATCAGCTGAATGAGGTGCATTAAAGCAAGGAAACTTGTAAAACATGCAGGGCAGTGTGCCTTGAGGACCAGGGTTGGGAAAGACTGGATTAGGGCAACAAGTCATGACACAGTTTTTCATGCGTCTTTCAGATAGCATTGTGTTAAACTTCAAGGTGTAAACCTTGAAGTTACTGTTTATGTAAACACCTAGTTCTCCAGATTGTATTTTTTCTTGATAGCAGCATTACCATCAAGACCACAGTACTGTTGTTTAACATTTTACGTCTGCAATCCTACAGTTGAGTAATAGCTCTGAGCTTCCTGAACTCAACACAGTGTTGTCAGTCCAAGTACATAACTGCTAGCTACAAGGCGCTAGCTAATGGTGCTGAGAGTGGGTCCTTTGAAGGCTGTGGCCACTGAATTGAGACACAACCTTTGAAATCAAGTTTCCGCTATTTCTGCACACTCAGAAAGAATCCCAGGTAAGCATCTTTCACAGTTTAAATTGAAGCTAGCTAACTTTTATCAACTGATAAAAAGAAAATATTTCCCTTTAATTCCTGTGAGCCATGCTGTTAATTTACATGTTTTGCAGCTGTTAGGAAATAAACATTTTTGGTAA